TTATGAAGCCTTAATCTGTGCCCAGTTGTGACTTCATGTCTGCTTTGCTAATTGTTGTAATGAGATTTTCACTTTCTGTCAACTTGAAGTGTTGAGTCAAATTTGTCTGCCAGAAGCTTTGTGTGAAGGCAGGTTAGGTCTGCCTCCAGTGGGACTGGGATACTTAGGCTGTCCATGAGTTTGAAGACATTCCCTGTTGAAAATGTAGGTAAGATGACTGGGGAGTTGCATGAAGGAGGAACAGCTGAAATACTGAGCCCTGTGCTGCAGAGGGGCTGTCAGGTAGCACTCCTATTTTCCTCTGCCAGTTTGCAAAATACTTCTCTTGGATTAAAGATCAGAAACATTGCCTTGTCTTATTTTCTCAGGGTTGTCTTAATCTTGTCTCCAGAGACTAATCACCTGACCAAGTTAGTCTTTCTTTTCCTTTCAGTTCTCTACTCCTACGTGACCTGGAAGAATACATCTAATTCAAACTAGTTGTCTTACAATAATTACCTGGAATGAAAATGTCCAAGTAACAGTACACTTCTGGTTTTATGTTTTAGCATTCCCACTGTTGGCATAAACTAGATGCTGTTGAACTTGCCGGATCAGACTTTGAAAATACTAACAACTAATTCCATAAAAGATAACAAAAAGCCCTATCTGATTTTCTAGACAAAGCTGGATCACATTGGGTGGTTCATAGATTGTTGCATCAGGTGGTTCTTAGATTGGTACATACTCGCATACAGAATTAAACTGAGGATATTTTCCATGAGGCCCTGAATGTACAGTAAAGCCTTTAAATTACATTTTTGCCCACTTTATCAAGCCTGCATTTCTGAAGATTAAAGATGCCTTCTGCCAGAGCATTCCCTGGCTACCTAGTCTGAAACAGCTCAAGCTCTGAAATGGAGCAGTTCCTCAGACCAGAGTGAGGGAAAGGTGTTGTAAAGTCTGTCTAAAATGCTGTATTTAAAAACAAAATACCCATGGCTATTTCCATGGCTTTCAGTATGTAATGTGAAAAATGGAGGTGAGTTTGAGTTAGGTTCTTGGCTGTTAACAACTTGTTGAGCAGCTACAGTCATGTGTAGTGTGTTGGTAGGGGTTTAGATGTCTTGTGTATGTTGCTTAATACTAAAATTCTGGAAATAAAAACTGTGTGCCAAGTTTATTAAAAGAGAAAAAAGTAAATGCTTGATGGTACAGTCACAGAATCACTTGAGGTTGGAAGGGACCTCCGCAGATCATCTGGTCCAAGTCCCCTGCTCAAGCAGGGCCACCTAGAGCCGGTTGCCCAGGA